GCCGGGGGGGCCCCGCCGCTATGGCGGGGCGGGGGGAGAGGCGGCGCCAGACTGCCAGAGTTTTAAGGAAAAAACAAGAATTCCCCTCTCCGTAAATSTTATTCTTTGGTTATTCCGGGGAGGCGCCTGCCGGACTGCTGCCGGATAAGCCCCGCTGCAGGCGATGCAGAGTCTGGTTGCTTCAATTACTGCGCGGCGCAGTAATTCCCATCTGAACGTACTTAATAGAAAACATGGGGCGATTCACGTGTGTTCTGTTTCCTTAAAACCCAGTGACAAGCGTTTGCTTTCCGATCAAACCCAAACTGTAAGAAATTCAAGTGTGCTTTGATCCTCATACTAATTTCCTAGACAAAGGAGAAACAAATTTATAGCTCAGATAAAATACAGTGAAAGCAAGATCCGAATAATGTAGCAGGCAACAGGAATGGCTGCACAGCAGAGTTCCCACTGTCTTGAGATGCTTCAGGTATTTTGCCACGATGTCTTTTAAGTCTCATGAATTTTACCAGTACCCAACTCCGAAATTTCTATCCAAAATAAGATGTGATTAGTTTCAYGAGCTGAAACTTGGAGCAATGGTTCTACAATGGTAATTAATTTGCTGATGCCTTTCACAGTGGCAAAACCATTTGCCACAAAGCTTTTATCCCTTGATTTAATAAAAGATGTTAATGCTCAAGGCTTCTCACAGTGCTTCCCTTGTTTCTATTTTTTATATCTTTGGTTGTTTATCTTCTTGCTACCATGGCTGCAATAAAATGATAGCTATTATTATCATATATTCCCTTCTATGTTTTTTATTTGCCAGTATTTCTTAAGTTTTCACATGAATAAAGTACTACAGTGTTATAGCTGGCTCTCATGAAATACAGACATAAGATTAAGTAACACCAATATTCCTCAGCTCATTTCACTAACCATAACTTAATTCCACTCGATGCTTAACAGAAATAATCTCTTGTCAGGAGGAAGTTTAAAGAATAAAGATGTGAGGAAGACACTGACAAAAAGGATTCTCACTTCCTAGAGACTTTCCTAATTACTAAGGACACACTGTAATTTAGGAAAACTGTCCCCATTTTAAATGCATTTAAATGCTGTCCTGACATGTTCTGCATCTGCACCATTTATTCATGTGGCTGTCCAGGGATTTGAACTACGGAGTTCATAACAGAGTATGGACAGAGTATTCTGAATTTTGTCTAGAATTGCAACCAGATTATTTCATAAAAAAAAAAAAAAAAAAAACAAAACCAAAAACCCTTTTCCAGTAACTGTAAGTCAAAAACAACAGTAGATCTGCAAAAACATTCTGTTAGTCTGAGTGGGCTTTCATAGCCCTCTAGTGGACAGGGATTGGATTGCCGTGAACCAAAATAGTTCTGTAGTATGAAGGTTTGAACYTCACTTAAATTTGCCAAAATCTTGGTAATTACTATATGACTACGACAAAATTATCCCTAGAATTACTTCCAATTTTATGTAAAATGACTACATTCTTTGTCTTGACCTTGAAGCTATTCAAATCATTTCTCATTATCAGAGGCTGAGTTTAATTCCTTGTGATTTTTTATGCTATTCAAGATGGGGGAGAAAATCTTAGCATGTTATGCTTCTGGGAATAAATCAGTGAACCCCATAGAAATTAAAGAGAAATTAACAACTTCTTCATTTTATATTAGGAGATTTTTTTTCTAAAGAAWGTTTGATTCTGAAAAAAGTGTATTTTCACAATCCAACATTGTACTTGACAAACTGAAGAAGCACCTTCGATAATGGGCAAATTCATAATCAAGGAATGAAGAACCATGAGATAATTTGTTTTTTTTTTTACAATTTTAAATCTTATTGTTTTTTCTTTTAATCTTATACTTGTCAAATCCATATCAATGTTATATGAACAGGCTCTTATACATATAATAAATATAACTAAGCCATTATATAATAAATATGCAATTTCTTGAACAAGGAGTATGATAGAGAAACAGCTTAAAAGGATTTAGAGAACTTCTATGTGGTCAAGTTATACTGCTTCCAATTAAAATATTTCTGTAGCTGCCTACTTATGTTTTGAAATMTTCTGCCACTAGACATGTGCCTGCTTAACACAATCTAACAGACAACATATATTTATTTAAGCATTAAGCATTCAATAATAGCATTTAAATAAGTTATTTGAATCTTAGCACATTCAGAGAGGAGACTTATCCATGATAAGGCTTTCCAAGCTGTCCAAAGGCAGCACTCATGTAAATCCCACTGAAATTCAGGAGCTGTTGGGTGCTTTTGTGTTTAAACTCAAATACAGTTTGAACCTACCCTATCCTTTCATCTATTTTTCTGTTTAAATGTTATCTCTAAATCATGAAACTCTTCCCACTCCATGCGAGTTTGTRGCACATCCATCTGTTACTGCCCTTTCCTGGATTTGGTCTGGTTTTCTGGGCTCTACTAGGTTTCATGCAGCAATATTTTCCTCTCTTGCTCCAAAGCAGCTTTGGCATTTCCCAGGGGCAGTTTTATTTTGGGCTTTTGCTTTATCTGTACGACGTGATGATACTAGGAGATCTGAATTGTCAGCACATTGGGAATTTTCGCATGAACATGTCAATGATACATAGCTATAGCCTGCTCTAAAACCTTCTGTCCCTGAGGTGCTGTCTGACTGCCTGTCAGATATTTGCAGCTGGATGAGCAGCAATTTTCTGTAGCTGAGTATGGCAAAGAAAGGAAATTTTGATCGGCTGCATGGAGGCAATTAGGTGCAACAGCTCTCAATGCTAGGGGCGATTCTAGCAACTTGACCCCTTTGATGTTTGGACCCAGAAATGAGTCACTTTTGAGATCTGTGTCATCCAGATGAAATTTAGCTTAACTAGTGCATTCACCCAGAAGTAGTTGCTGCTGCAGGAGCGAGGAAAAAAGGGGTGTAAGTCACACTGATCCTGGACATTTATAGTTCACTACTGGCTGAATGTCCTGACTGGAATCATTGTGGAAAACTGGCTGATGTGAAAAACAACACAGGCCAGATCCAGATGAAGCTTAACTGGCCATTTCCCACTTAGTTACAGGAGACATCAAATTCCTAGTTTCTGCATCAGAAGTGGGATGAAAAATATTCTTCTGATCTTCATTACACTAAATAGCAATGCCTCCTTCATGTACCAGCTTGCTTAACACAAATGCAGTAACAAGTTGATTTTAATAGTAAGATATATAGGAATACTTTAAGTTCTTATGTATTATCGGCAAAACAAAGCAGGTACATTCAGGAGAGTTATTATATGGCCTGTCCAAAAGCCTTTAGCATCAATGAGAAGATTCCCACTTATTTCATTAGGCTTTAGAAAAGGCATCTAGAGAGCCCAGCCAGAAAGTAAAGTGGACACGATTTATACCTGAATGAATTATAATCTACAACTGAAATATTCAGTGAAATATCTGCAGTGTGCACTCCACAAAAGCATAGAAAGGCTTTTTGAAATCAGAAATTCTAACAGAGTCTGGGTGATGTTTATCCTAATAGCAGTGCATACTGGAGTGTCAACTGCAGCTCATAGAAGAAAAAAATCAAACAGATGAGTAGTACCTGAAGTGACATAGAGGACACAAAGTTTGGGTCTCTTCTGCTAGTGCTTTATCAAAGAAAATTGTACAGATCATTTGTTCACCCCAATAAGAGGGACCTAACAAACAGAAAATAACAGATTACCGTCAGGATGGAAGAAATAAAAAAGAACTAATTGATTTATCTAAACATTTAAAGAGTGACCCATGATTTGTGCAAGAAATTCAGCAGGTGAGAGGGGCAGCCTTTGCAACCCTCCTGATGAAACTGCCAGTAAATGTGGCCACTTATTTGGGATATAGCTAACTTCACAAGAATTTGACTGCGAGTACTTTTATTGAAAGGCAAATGAAGTAAAGGGAAAGGCTCCTATGCCTTCAGTGAGATTTGAACAAAATGCTTATTTCAAAAGAGCCATCAAATAATCCTAAAACAAAAAGAAAGAGCCATGTCTAAACCAGAGATACAAAGAGGGAAGAAATTCTAAACTCCACTCAGTCCCCTGGGCCGTGCTTTTCTTGCCAAGTTTGTAATTCCAGCTCTTATGTTGTGCACTATCCTTATTGGTGTCACCACTCAGTTTAATTACAGATACTCATTTATGTAACTCCCCTCTCTTGAAAGGCATACTTTTTTTTTTTTTTGCTATCAAGAACTTTGTAAGACTGTGACCTTGATGGCTGGGAAGTRTACATATGTCTAGGGGAAAAAAAGCTGAAAGCTTGTTCTGGAGAAATGAATCTCCAAGAAGCTTGAGTAGAGTAATGGCCTTTATACATCATGAATGCAGACATTTCACACAAAAGCATGGAGCCATTATCCTTTTCCCCCAAGATTTCCTGTCTACTACAAATACAACAGTGACTTGTAAATTTAATTTTAAAATCTAAGGTTCTTTTACCTTAATATAACCAGTTCCATTGAAATTACAAAGGCAATACTGTAGGGGTTCGTGTTAGAAAGAGTGGATTTGTCTGATTTATAGTCAGGAAATGACTTCTAAAGAAGTGTTTCCTAGCTTCCATATAGGTTTAATCTAAGAATCTAAATATTTACCTTTCTGTCATGTTAATTTGGTTGCAGTGGCAATTTTGGTAGTGAGGTGACTCTTGCAAGCCTGCTAGATTTTATTAATTTCCTTTCTCWCCTCTGATGAGGTAAAGAACACAAGTGATTCCTTTCTTTAGTGTTTTGAACTGTGAAAGGCATAATTATTCAATAAAATGTGTATTTGTAATTAAAGAGAGGTGCTTAGCACAGGCTACTTGTTATTGTATTACATGTTTAGTAGAGCAT